CGGGACTCCAGGATCATGACCTGAGCCGAAGGCAGTCGCTTAACCAACTGAGCCACCCAGGTGCCCTGTACGATTGATTTGAACGTGAGTCCCAGGAGCTTTAGCTTAGTGTATCCCTTTCTGTAGTTGTAGAATATTCCACCATGGGGATCTTCTCTGTTCCTTCTCTTGCATGGATTCTTCCAATTCTTGGCTACGCTAGTTCTCATTGCCATGAACAGCTCTTTGCATGTCTCCCAGCATCCCAAACAAGAGCTTCTGCACAGCTTAGAGTGAGCCCTCTTTTACAGATGGGGAAGCTGAGGTTCAGAGGGATGCAGATGTCCCCCATCTAGGAAGGGAGGGGACCTACTTTGAACTTGGGTCTGCCTGGCTCGAGAGTCTGTGTTTTTAGATTTGACTTTGTTCCCTGGTCTTGGGGTGTCAGGGAAGCTGGGTTGCGAGATGAATGAACAGTCACCAGGGAGGGTCTTGACACCCCTCAGTATCCCCATCCCTGCAGGCAGGGTGCTTTCCAGAAAGAATATCCCTCTGGTTTACTTGGAGGTCCTCTGCCCCTGATTCCACCTCTCAAACATCCCTCCCCAAATTCATCATTAGTGGTAGTAATCATAATGCTAGCTACTGTACACAGAACACTTAAAATCCTTGTGTTCAAAGTTTGTCCCATGTCACGTGCTAATACAGATGATGTAACTTATTCATTTATTTGTAAGGAAGGCATGCCATGGTTGACAACACAAGCTCAATTAAAGTCCCTGCTGTGCTAGGTACCAGCTAATTGACTTGTACAAAGTGCCTCATTCTCCTCATCTGTAAAATGGACCTTAGGGATGGATCCTACTTTAGGGAATTAGTGAGCGGACCAAGTGGTTGCCTCGGGGCCTAGCACATGCTAGGGGCTCATTAAATGCCAGCTCTCAAATGAAAACTCCTCTGTGATGGGCACCATTAGCATTTTGGACCAGGCAAAGGTGTAGGACACTTTGCAAAAGGAAGGCACTCAGAGCCTCTGGAGTCTCCTGTGGGTGTGACCCCCAGCTCTGCCCCGTGTTGGCCGTGTGTCTCCAAGCAAATGCCTTAGCTTCCCTTCGTCTCCATTTTCTCATCTGTAAAATGGGCTGGCTGATCGTTCCCACTTCAGGATTGCCGAGGCTCTCCCCGAGGTTGTGCGGGGAAAGGGCTTGCTGAATATTTGCAGAATGCAGGAAGGAATTCTTCATGCCCCACACCCTCTCCCCTGACAGGCCAAGGGGCAGTTTAAGAAGCAGTCGGTGGCCAATGGCGTGGAGATATCTGTGCCCGTGCCTAGTGATGCCGACTCCCCAAGGTTCAAGACCAGTGTAGGCAGTGCCAAGTACATGCCAGAAAAGAATGTCGTTATTTGGAGTATTAAGTCTTTCCCGGTGAGTACTGGGGTGGGTGTGGGATCTGAGGGCCCTGCCCTTTTGGCCTGCGAGCAAGGCAGAGAACAAATCAGAGATCCATGTGTGTTTGCATATGGTTATCCTTTAGGGGTAATAAAGCTGGAAACCAGGTCAGCATGGTGGTTAAGCTCCCCGCCTCCCAGGTCTTGAGGAAACCAGCCCTTGCCTCTTGCAGCTAGACAGCCTTAGGAAACCCACTTCCCTTCATGGAGCCTCTGTTTGCCCATGTGTGAAATAGACAGGATCATGTTACCCTCACCCTTGGGCTGCTGGAGGATTTGGTCAGTCCCTGCGAATGGGGTGGTATGCGGGGTCCATCAGGGCCTGGGAAATGGGGAGATGGTCACTAGACGCCCTCTGACCAGGCTTTTTAGTTAGAAGCTTCAGCTGTATCTTGGCCAGGAACCTTCACTTTCTGGTCTGAAATGGACAAAGAACAGAGCCTGCTCTGGGGGCTGCCCTGAGGATGGTCTGGGGCAGAGAGAGGCCTCTTGGTGTGTCTGATGCCCCCATGTGCCCTCAGGGGGGCAAGGAGTACCTGATGCGTGCCCACTTTGGCCTCCCCAGCGTGGAGAAGGAGGAGGTAGAGGGCCGGCCCCCCATTGGGGTCAAGTTTGAGATCCCCTATTTCACCGTCTCTGGGATCCAGGTGAGTGTAGCGAGCGCATGTCTTCTCTCCTTGGCCTCAGTGGGTTCCCCATTTTCCTATACCTCCGCTCAGGTCACATCTGTTCCCTGGCCTATGCCCCCTGCCCCCCCCCCAAACCACCCTGTGTCTACCCCCTTACACTGGGCCATCTCTTTCCCAGGGTCCTGGACTGCCTCCCTGCTCTCCTCCTCCCACTCCCTGTGCCACACCTTTTCCCCAACACATGTCACCTCACCACTCCCAGACCGTGTCACCTCATTCCCCCCGAGTTCCCTGACCACAGCCAGGCTCTCTGCCCAACGCGGGCCACCTCATTTCATCCCCTTTCAGGTCCGATACATGAAGATCATTGAGAAAAGCGGTTACCAGGCCCTGCCATGGGTTCGCTACATCACCCAAAGTGGTGGTAAGGCAGCCCAGCTCCCTGGGCCTCTGGGGTCAAGGAGATCCAAGGGATGGTCTTGGGGCTTTGACAACACTCCGGCTCGGAGGGCACCAAAATCCAACAGGCCTGGCTTCAGTTTGCCCATCTTTAAAATGGGGGCGGGTGCCAGCTCAAGGGTACTATAGGGTTTGGACAAGGGACTGAACACAGCACCCCCATCTGTATCTGGAGACAAGCTTGTTGCTATGGTTACCTTCCCCGTGTTGAACCGCATTCTTAGCCTTGTTATATACCCATGGAGTTGATCATGAGCACTGGGGTGGGAGATAAATGCGGGAGGGGTCTTTCCCTCTGTTCCCTTTCCCCAGTTCTGAGATGGTCTCTGCTCATTGTTTCCCCGCAGATTATCAACTTCGTACCAGCTAGGAGAGAGAAGAGGTGGGGACTTGGACATGGGGCCTTCCCTCTTCCCAGGCTGGGACTGTAGACTTGGGAGGAAGATGGGGGATGTGTGTGAGGGAAGACCCCTGACTTAGCAGTTTCTTGTTCCCAGCACCCAGAACCTGGCTTCCTCCCTGCCTTTCCCTCCACCCATAGGCTGGGGAGGAACAGTCTCCCTACCTCCTGCCTCTGGGCTCCTCCCTCCAATTTTATATGAAGCAATAGAGGAGGGTCTTGAAGCCCCCTCATGAGTGCCTTCTTGTAGTGACCTGCCTTAGGGGTGTTGGGGCCCCTCCTTCACAGCTGCTGAGCCCAGAGGCCATCCTGGCCCACCCTGAGTTTTAGGATGGTATTAAAAAGAATGAATCTAGCTGCTGTGTATATTCTTGGCTGGGGACTGGGGATGCCGGGGACACCCATGAAGTGCTGGGATGGGGGCGGGCAACGCAGATCCGTTTCTCAGGCCTGGGCATGGCACATCTAGGACCGTGCAGTTTCCCCCGCCTCGCTCCTTGGGCTCCCTGTTCGACGAGCATCAGTTTCCCTTGTAGCCGCCAGAGGGCGCCTCTTCTAAGTCCCGTCGTGGCTCTCAGCACCCTCCCACGGTTCCCTTGTGAAAAAAAAGTAAAAAGTGCTCACTGCAGTCCACAAGCCCGATCAGCCCTACCCCTCCCTCCACTTAACCTGTCCTCACCTCCTCCCACTCTCCCCCTCTAGTCCTCACACTTCCTGTGCACAACAGGTGCTCCCACCTCGGCCATTGCATCTGTAATGCCCGTCACCTGGCATGCTTTCCCCCAGATATTCACCTGGCTCCTTCCCTCACCGTCAGGTCAGAAACGTCAGCTCCTCCGGGAGGCCCTCCCTGACCTATTTCAACGGCGTTCCTTTCCCAAGAGACTATCACTTACCTGTTTTATCACCGCCATAGTATTTACCCCTCTGAAAAGGTTCTTTTTTTAAAAGATTTTATTTATTTGACAGAGACACAGCGAGAGAGGGGACACAAGCAGAGGGAGAGGGAGAACCCGACTCCCTGCTGAGCAAGGAGCCCAATCTGGGACTCCATCCCAGGACCCTGGGACCATGACCTGAGCCGAAGGCAGACGCTTCACGACTGAGCCACCCAGGCGCCCGTGTACAGATTTAATTACTGTCTTCTCCCGACCTAAATGGTGAGGGTCCTGCAGCAGGAACCACCTGGCTGGGTCGCTCTCCAGTTGCACGCCTAGTACACAGAGGGTGCTCAGTAAATGTTTGAAGGCAGGCATCTATAAATGCCTCCTCCGACCTCGACTCTCGCCTCCCAGGCTCGTCCACGTGGCGGCTGCGGCTCGCAGCGTGTTTTGTCCTCGCCCTGGCATTTGCTGTGCCAGGTTTAGTTCAATCTGAGCCAGAACGTGATTCCCTCTCACCCACCCCATTTCCCCGTTTATTTTCTTGACGGTGCTTAACGCTATCTAAAATTATGTAGTTGCCTGAATGTGCGCTCCCCAGCGCCGGGACAGGTTCCAGGACACAGCGGGCGAGTGAATGAAACAAAGCGCTCTGCACATACTAAGGGATAATAAATGCTTATCGCATGACTGAATGGTGAAACTCCGGCCTGGACTGCCCCAGCTCTGCCTCCCTTCCTCCCGGAGGTGCCGACGGCCCGGGGCATACTGCGCTACCCTGCCCCTGACCTTTCTCCCGCGGGTCAGTTAAACCGGCTCCCTTTCCCGCCCGCCTGGCGAGTTTGAAAACCGAAAACCCCGCCATTGCCGGCGGTTCCACCGGTCGCCGCGGCTCGGCCAATCAGGAGCGACACCGCCCCTGCCGGAGCGTAAAACTCCCCCCCGGCGACGCGTGGCCATTGGCTGCGCTGGCCGCGTGGGCGGGGCGCCGCCGGGTCGCGCGCCGGGCAATGCGGCTGGGCGACAGTGTAGCGAGTTCATAAGAAAACAAATCCGCAGCGTTCGGGGCGGGGCCTCAAGCGCGCTGGCGCCGCCCCCTGGCGGCCAGCTTGGCAGCGGCGGCGACGCCGCCTCAGACCAGACGTCGAGGAGGAGGGAGGGTGAGTTGGGGGGAGACCCGGCCCCCAAGGGGCGGGGGCCGGGCCGGGGCGTGCGGGCGGCCTAGGGTTGGGCCGGGCTCCCAGCCCCTGGCGACCCGCTGGCCGACAGGGGGAGGAGCCCGCCGGGAGGGCCCGGGTCGCGCCCGAGAGCCGACTGGTGAGCCGGGCTGGGAGCCTCGCCCAGGCCAGGAGCGCCTTGGAGGGGATCTTCGGGCCGGCTTCGGTGGCTTTCCCCGCACTGACGGCGCCGGGGTGGGGCGGCGGGGTTTGCAGGCTGCCGGTGTCGACATGCTGCTGGAGGAGGTCCGCGCCGGCGACCGGCTAAGCGGGGCCGCGGCCCGAGGCGACGTGCAGGAGGTGCGCCGCCTTCTGCACCGCGAGCTGGTGCACCCCGACGCCCTGAACCGCTTCGGCAAGACGGCGCTGCAGGTGAGGCCAGGCGGGCGCGGAGCGAGGGCGGGGCTGGGACCCCGGACCCTTAACCTTACGTTTCCTGGGTCGCGATGGTGGCTGACTGGGGGTCCCGTCCTTTTTCCCTGGGCCGATGTTGCTCCCTGATGTCCCTTTTCGTGGGTGGGTGGTGGATGGGGTTAGGTTGGGGGAGGGGAGGACTTTCCATCTTCTCTGGAGGATTTCTTATTCTCTGCGTGCGGAGGATTCAGTTTCCCTGGGGAGGTTCTTATTACGTGGTGTGAGTTCAGCGTTTTTGGATCCTGGTTTCATAGGGATGGCTCTTGTTTCTTGGAGCTTCTGTGGGGGGAATCCAATCACTGGAAGGAAGGATTCATGTTTCCAGAGGGTCCCCATTTTCTGGAGGGTTCTCTGAGAGGTACCCAGTTACGTGGGGGAGATCTCCATTCCTGGATTTGTTTGTTCCCCCAGATGCCTAGTATATTAAGGGAAGCCCTAATGGGGGTACAGTTACACATTGCACGGGTCTCCTTATTCCCCCGGGGGGGCATTTTACAAGGGAACCCCATTTCTTAAGGGGGTCAGGTACACTGGGGATCATCCCCATTATATGGGAGAAGCTATTAACTGGAGAAGGGATTTCAAATTCCCTGGGCATCTCCTTTCCCTTCAGTCGGCTGTCAGGTTCTTTGGGGGGCATTTTTCATTCTATGAGGCCTATCTCCTGGGGGGTTCCATATTTCCTAATGATTTCCCCCATGGGATGGGGCGTGTCTCTGCTTCCTTGGGGAGGGTCTTAGGTTCCTTGAAAGTTTCCGTGGAGGCTATTCCCTAGACGATTGTCTTATCCTTAGGGGGTGACCAGCTTCTTGGGGGTCCCTCTTCCTAGGAGGTGTCTTTCTCTGGGGTATCCAACAGCTGTCTGAGAGCTTGTGTTCTTTGGGTTTTCCCCATTCTTTAGAAGACCTCTAGTGTTCCCTGTTCTTGAATGACCCTTCTCTTCAGTGACTCCCTTTTCCTGGAACCTCTCCCTTGAGGACCTCTTACCCTCTGCCCCCACACAGGTCATGATGTTCGGCAGCCCCACCATTGCCTTGGAGCTCCTCAAGCAAGGTGCCAGCCCCAATGTCCAGGACACCACCGGCACTACTCCAGCCCATGATGCAGCACGCACTGGATTCCTGGACACCCTGAAGGTTTTGGTAGAGCATGGTGCTGATGTCAACGCGCCTGATGGCACTGGGGCGCTCCCCATCCATCTGGCAGTGCGAGAGGGCCACACGGCTGTGGTCAGCTTCCTGGCTACAGAGTCTGATCTCCATCACAGGGATGCCAGGGGGCTCACACCCCTGGAGCTGGCGCAGGGGATAGGGGCTCAGGATCTCCTGGACATACTACAGGGGCACACAGTAGTACTGCTGTGACCTGGGACCACCCACTCCAGCAACCGGACCCAGCAGGGTTCTGTGTCAAAAGAGGAGGGAAGAAACACTTTCTCCCCTCACTTCTGCCCACTGTCGAAAGCGGAGGGGCACCAGTTTGTGGCTTGTTGGTGTTGATTTGCGGGGTGTGTGTGTTTGAGGGACATTTCTCATTTGTTTTTCTCACCCCTTTTGATGTGTTGGGCGGAGAAGGGCTCCTGCAGGCAACAGCCATCTAAACGGTTCAGTTTTCTCTGCGCCTCGGATTGCTGGGGCTGCAGACGCCCAAGGGCAGAGCGTTTAAAGCCCCAGCCCCAGAGTGAGGTCATCACTTCCAGGGCTCCTGGAACCTGGCGACCTTGGCTGGCTGTACCCAGAGAGAGACCTCAAGTGTGCACACTGCTTTCAGGCATGGGGGAGGGGGGAGAGTTTCAAATAAATAAAAGGATAGTATGAGTTCATTCATATTTTGTTGGAAGCTTGTTTTCCAGTCTCTTGTACAGCGTTAAAAAAAGAGATTCTATTTATTAAGCTTTGTGGAAAAAAATTGTGTGATAACTTAATGTTTTTACCCATTAAATTAAGACTTGTGCATGATCACAGAGCTGGTGACTTCTGATTTTTGAGTCTGCGATGGAGAACCGTGCATCCAGGATGTTTGTGGGGGGTGGGAAGGGGGTCGCAGATCGTGGGTGCTTTGGGGGAGGGGAGAGAGTGGTAATTCCCAGGGTGCCAGAGGTGAGTGAGCTGGGTGGGGCAGCGGTTTACGCTGTCGGAACGGAAGGGAGGCAGGAAACCGCGAGTGGAGAAAGGGCCCCCAGATGTCAGCTGGGTGCCGGGAGCCCCGGGCGGGGGGGGGCGGGGGCAGTGGGCGGTGGCTGCAGTCTGACCCGCAGAGGCGTGACCCGCGGGCAGGGATTATGGTCGCACGGCGTTAGGGATCCCGGAAAGCTTGGGGACAGGATTAGGCGCGGCCCGCGAAGCTCCGCCTCCTCTAGGGCTCGCCGGGGCCGGGGCGGGGGCCGACAGTAGCCCCGCCTCCTTCGGGGACACTCGCCGCACGCGTGCGCAGTGGGCCGCAGAGCCGCCATGCCGGAACCGCGCGGGTCGTCGCCCCTTCGGGTAAACACGGCGTTTGCCGCGCGGTACGGCCGCTACCGGGAGCGCGAGGAGCTGCAGCGGCGTGAGTGCGGGGCGCATGCGCGCGGGGCGGCCGCGCGTGCCGGGTAGTCGGGAAGTGGGGGTTCAGCTGGTCCTCCACGCTGATCTAGGGGGCTCGCATCTGTGCCCCGCAGTTAAAGATCGCTACGGGGACCGGGACATCGGCGGCGACTCCAGCTCTGAGTCTGACTCTAGCGACGAGCGCGTGGTGAGCTTTCTCACCCCGGTGCCGTACATTCGGGAAGCATCCAAGCCCCCCACCGCTTCCCGACCCCGATATACAGAGGGCGGCTAACTTCCAACCCCATTTCACCCGACGGG